ATCTTTTTCAAACCCACACCTGGGACAGGCTAAAGAGAGTTTGTCTGTTTCTAGGTTTGTGAGTTCCTGCTCTCTTTCACTGCAAAGACAGGCTCTGGTAAAGATCCCCTTAAACACTTTCACATCAAGGACCCCCAAACTGAAACAAATTAGGACCCCATTTAAAAAGATTGTGTCCAAGGATCCCCCATATGATAGGATATTTTCATTTAGATGTTTTAATACAGAAAGTGTGTGAAACCCATGACCAATACATTCTCTGATTATTTTGCTTATGGAGGCATTATAGTGAAAATAAATGAATACCCTTTTTGCTAGGGTCCCTCTGGAACCCCCCTCAAGGACCCCTGGGGGTCACAAGACCACACTTTGAAAACAGTTTCTATAACATTTGACTTTTTAATTTAGAATATTACCATTATAGCCCCGCTATGGGAGGCTGACTCCACATCTGTGCTGCTGTTACTGGATCTTGATGCAGATTTTGACACCACTGACCACTGTACACTCCACCAATGGTAGAATTAACTTTGGTGTCTCCAATCTTGTCCATTAGCCCCCAAAAGTCGCCTTTTTTCTACCTTGTGCTGTGGCTACAGCAAATGATCCCCTGTCTGTTTTTTATTATTCTCTTTATATTTGACTGTGCTGAAGCTCGAAGCTGTGGCTGAAATCACAAACTCTCTCCCTGTCAGGAGGCTATGGGGCTGCCACGCTGTCTATGAAGAGAGACCCTGTGAATATCAAGCGGTCAGGCAGCGAGTTCCCTCTCATCCTGGGGAGGGACGTGTCTGGGGTCATCATGGAGTGCGGCCTGAATGTGAAGTACTTCAGAGAAAGGGACGAGGTAAAAACGAAGCAAATAGAAGAGGGCAGGGATGTGATCTTGTACGCTCAGTAACCACTTCATTATGCATATACCTAATTACGGAAACAGCCCCTTCCTGCACACAGTGAGTCATGTGTGAATAAAGTAAGTGTAAAGTATGCAGTCATGGTGCTGTAAACAAAAATATCTAGATCTGTGTGAACGACAAATTAGGCACAACACTGAACAGTGAAAACACGTAACCTGTGCTGATGCATCCTGGTTTCTGA